CCCCGCCGTGGCCCCGGGGCTGGGCTCGCCTTGCCGTGGCTGGCGGAGATGGTGCCCGCGCCAGGGTTAGTCTTGTCCCCACCTCCCACCCTTGCAGCTGCTGGTCTAGCGCGTGTGGGCGCCGCTCCCCTGGCCGGCTGCGAGGCGCTGCTGTATGCCCGTGTGACCCAACTTCCCAGCTCGCCGGAGAAACGCCGCCTGGATAATGTCCACACCGAGCAGATTCAAAAAGGACAAAGAGATCATAGCGGAGTATGAAAGTCAAGTGAAAGGTAAGTGGATGTCAATAGGAGCGGGGGAGATAAGCTCCCTCCTTTTCGCTGTCTGACACTGCTCCTAACTTGGGCTCCTCTCAAAACCCAGAGAGATCATCGTGGGTCGGGAGGAGAGATTAAAGGGCCGAGTTTCACTCTCACGAGTGGTATCACAGTCCATGCTGAGCAGAGGTATTCTGGAGCCACCATGCTCTCGGGGTGAGCAATGATCTCACACGCCCGGATTTTGCACTTCAAACAGCGGACTAATTGCTGAACTTAATTTCCCCGAGGAGTGTCATTTGAGAAGGGGGAGGCGGACGCCGCTCATGCAGCCCCTGTCTCATTTGTCTAAGGCTCTGTTTGAAGAAAGGGGGAGGATGTTTTAAAGCTGGAATGGTTATGAACTGTCTGGTTGAGATTACTCACCTTTCATTAATCAACGAGATTTGGTAGCCTTTTAAAGGCTGGCACTTAACCTGAAGAAAGACAATAATAAGCCTTTCCCCCTTCATAACGCACATGGCTTTATTTCCCTAGGATTGCTTTGTATGTGGTGCTGTAGCTGCTTGATTAGTAAATGGATCTCTTTGATATTGTAGTGTTTCACCTTCAACATTAGTTACATCCATGTACTTGTGCTCAGAGCAGTGTAACTGGAGTCTTGGGTTAGTTGCTAACATCCTTAGCCCTTCAACATTCAAAAGGAAAAGAAACCAGTCTTTTTGTTGTTAAAAACACATTTTGTAGAAACTGATCTTTTAATGACTTGGAGATGTGCACCTTTCTTGGTACATGTTGGTTCCTTTCCGTGGTGGCACAGTGGATGAAAACTTGTGCTCTTCAATGAAATGCCTGCACTACTCCAGTGAATATGTACTCTGGTGGATAGCTACAGACTTGTCTTAACAGCTCAAATTGGTACATATGTTTTTATCACTAACTGTACTATAAAGACAATATGTAAGCAAAACCTAGTTAGGGCCCTGATCCTACTATGTGATAATGCTGGGCAGAGCCTGTCCTCACATGGACCCTGACTGTGTTGGCACAGAGAGCCCCCATATATTCAGGATTGGGAACTGTGAATTTAAACAGGGCAGGAGAGAGGGTACCAAACACCCCATAACTCTTTATGAAATCTAATAGAATATTAGTAGTTAAATGGTCCTTCATATTGTATTTGATCCTGCATTGAGGTTGCAATGACTGTAATACCACAGATTCATTATTTTCACAGCAATCAACCTGATGGAATGAGAAACAGCATTCATTCTGTATCTAACATACAAAGATACTGTGCTTTGAGGGGAGGCGTCTTGTAAACTCCTCTTTCTGCTCACCCTACCTCCCTCTTATTATTAGCTAATTTCAGTAAAAACCAGGCTTAGGTAGTGAAAGTATCTGATTATAAAACATCTCCTTTGGCATTGCAGTACCCCTTTATAACTGCTATTACAGCACTAACCAATACATTTATATATCTCATATATTAGGCGTTTTGATTTGTTCACATTGCTCCTTTGTGGTGTCTCTGAATGTGTACAGTGGTTGTCTTGACACTGAAGTGATGAAACTCTTAGCAAAGCTGTTTAGCAAGATCCACTAGGACCTGTGGTTGTGTTTACAGCCTCTCTTCCAAAGACTTTTATAGCAATTTCATTCCAGATTATAAGGAGTCTGACTTCCTCATTCTGGCATCATTTTCTTTATGATCACTGAGTATTTGTGTAATGCCACAACAGACCTCCAAGGCCAGATAAGTATAACAGACACAAATTACAAACTAAGATCAGATCCTAACCTCCAATATCATTGGTGTCTCATCACTGGGAGGGACTATAAAGAGATGCCCTAGTTAGACAGCAAGGTAACTTTTAGCTAGCTAGCTCTGTGCCACTTGTCTAGCATAATGTTTCAGCTCATGCTGGGGAAAAAGGTCTTGGCCCAAGAACTGCTTCCTCCAGTGATCATTGGTTAGTGTAATGGCCTTTAGTGAACTGTTACTATCAATATGAATTAAAGATGTCCTAGAAATATAGGAATTAGAGCAGTCCTGGAATATAGGCTGCACAAAACTGGTAAATCTTGTCCCTTTTCCCACCAAGGTCCTGTGCTGAGTACAACTGATGTGCCCCATGGATCATTCTGGTCCCTAAATGTGCAGTATCAAAAGCCAGAACACTTCCTTTGACAACTCAACTGGGTTTACACAAATGCATACATTTTATGGCCAAATGTATCTGAATTTGTTATTGGAGCACATGGGCTTCTATTGTATATGACTAGTAAAGTGTGTTTGTGTGTGGTGGTGCCGCATATGGAAATGAGGAGTCAGTGTCCTATTTTACATATCTTGCTGTGCTCTTATTCCTTGAATAAGAGGCAGTTCTGTTAGGCTTTGTCTAGACTACATGCCTCTGTCGTCAGAGGCATGTAGATTAGACACATAGGCAAAGTCAAATGAAGCCGCGATTTAAATGATCGCGGCTTCATTTAAATTTACATGGCTGCCGCGCTGAGCCGACAAACAGCTGATTTCCTATTTTACATATCTTGCTGTGCTCTTATTCCTTGAATAAGAGGCAGTTCTGTTAGGCTTTGTCTAGACTACATGCCTCTGTCGTCAGAGGCATGTAGATTAGACACATAGGCAAAGTCAAATGAAGCCGCGATTTAAATGATCGCGGCTTCATTTAAATTTACATGGCTGCCGCGCTGAGCCGACAAACAGCTGATTTGTCTACTCTAGTTTTAACTTTTCAGGATTTTTTTCCCTTGGAATTTAGTTCTGGGATGAGGTTTACCGGGGCTGCCGACAAAGGGCTTTGATGTCGGCAAGGGAGCGTCCAGACTAGCGCGCTGAGCGGACAAACAGCTGATCAGCTGTTTGTCGGCTAAGCGCAGCAGCCATGTAAATTTAAATGAAGCCGCGATTTAAATGATCGCGATTTAAATCGCGGCTTCATTTGACTTTGCCAAAACAACAAATCTACATGGCTCCATCGACGGAGCCATGTAGTTTAGACGTACCCTTAGATATTAATTGTGCCAGTTAGCTTCTAGTTTATGTGAGCTGAAAGTTATTACTTAGAGTATTTTCTAGTTATATGAGTAGACTTACTCATTTTATAGACACAGCAATTCATACAAGAACCTCAGAAAGCACAGTAAATAGGATTACAAGCTAATGGAAATATAAAGGATACATTTCATTCATGGGTGGAGCAGCTGAACATACCTCTCCGTTTCACCTGGTTCCTTGTCAAACCATGAGAAACTTTAGAGGGATAGTTGAGTTAGTCTGTAATAGGAAAAACTTAAAAAAACAACAAATAGTCTAGTTAGTAGCACCTTAAAGACTAACAAAACATGTAATGGTATCATGAGCTTTTGTGGGCACAACCCACTTCTTCATATGACCTTGAACAGCTACTGATTTTAGTATGTTGTTAAAGACTGCTTTTGTCACCAGGAATAAAACTATAAAATTTGTGGAAAAATAAAATAATTTAAAATAATAATCTTAAACACTAACAAGTACAAGGCTACTAAATCTTTAGTACCTGATCTTGCAATTAAATCCACGTGGGTGGATCCTTGTACCCATGCTCAGCTTTGGGGATGTTCCATGCAAGTACAAGGGTTAGCCTGACTGGATCTGATTGAAAGGACAGGGCCTTAATTTGTAGAGAATAGTTGGAGCAAGGCCACTCAAATATAAATCTAAAATTCGGAGATGTGAGATCGTTAAGCATAGTGAACGATGTTGGTTGTACTGTAAGTTTACTGTTAATAATAGATATTTTTATTAAACTGATTGAATCACTTTCTAATTTAAGGAACCCCTATGCGGGCTATCAGGGTTTTGTTGATTTCAAATCCATTTTCAACAGTACTTAAGAATAAGCTTTAAACAATTAGTACAATAGCATGGGATATGTGCTTTTCATATCTCTTACTTGTTGGATAATTGAATGAAATGACTTGGGGGACCTCAAGAATTCATTTAGTCCAGTTTCCCGTTTTGAGATTGGACCAGGTATACCTAGACCATCTCTGAAGGGTGTCTGTTTAACCTGCTCTTAAAAACTTCCATTTATAGGAGTTCTGCAACCTCCCTTTGTAAGTTATACCAGTACTTAACAAGCCTTATAGTTGTTTTTAATACCAAATCTACGTCTCTTTGCTATGGATTAAGCTGATTACTTCTTAGTGGAAGTGGAGAACAATTGATTACTCTCCCCTTTATAACAGCCCCTAATATATTTGAAGATTGCTATCAGGTCTCCTGAAATGTCTTTTTTTTTTTTCTTCAAGACTAACGTCCCTAGGTTTTTATTCAAGCTTTCCTCATAGGTCAGGTTTTCTAAACATTTTATCCTTTTTGTTGCTCCAGACACTCTCCAGTGTAGACACATCTTGCTTAAGGTGTGTCTTAAACTAGTAGTCATTGTTCTCTAGCTAAGGCATCACCAGTGCTGTGTTTAGGGGAAAATTACCTTGACTGTCTTACATGCAACACTTTTGATGATACACCCCAGAATATTAGCCTTTTTTGCAACCATGTTATGTTGCTGATTCTCATTCAATTTCTGATACACTGCAACCCCCAGATCCTTTTCATCACTACTACCACATAACCAGTTATTCCCCATTTTGTAGTTGAACATTTTTTTTTCATAGAATCATAGAAGATAAGGTTGGAAGGGACATCAGGAGGTCATATAGTCCAACTCTCTGCTCAAAACAGGACAAACCCCAACTAAATCAGCCAACCCAGGGCTTTGTCAAGCCGTTTTTAAGGATGGAAATTCTATCACCTCCCCATATAACCCGTTCCAGTGCTTCACCACTCTTCTAGTAAAATAGTTTTTCCTAATATCAGCCTACACTTTCCCCCACTGCAACTTGAGACATTGCTTCTTGTTCTGTCATCTGCCACCACTGAGAACAGCCTAGCTCCATCCTCTTTGGATCTCCCCTTCAGATAGTTGAATGCAACTATCATCTCCCCT